GAGTGTATTTGAAGGAGAACCCAGATTCACACTACCACGTCCACCCACACCGACACTCACCCACACACCCGCCCACACCCACACTCACCCAAGAAAGAAGTTCAATTGATAAAATCATCTGATTATTATTAAGAAAAGATCTTTTCTATTTGATTTAGAAAGAATTTTCCCTGAAATAAAAGATCATTTTTACTTTTATTTGAAGTCTTTATGAAAAATCTTCTTTAGTTCTTTCTCCTAAATAAAATTCTTTTATATTTAATTTAGATTTTATTCAAGTTGTAAAATAGTTCAAAGAATATTTTCAGCAAATATTCTTTCAAATAGAAGAAAGACAAAAGTTTTTTTTTATTTGAATAAATGAGAACTTCAAAGAAGAAACTTATTTAATTTTCTTCATTCAATTGACTTAACAATTGAAATAAAAAACGAATTTTTCTATAAAATTCGAAAAGATGATAAATGAAGAAATGCAAATAATTATTTTTACTTTGTTAAGAATTAGAAAAAAAAATTGAAGATAAAATCATTTTCGCTAATCAATTAGCCGAAAAAACCAAGTTCGAATGATTTAAATGAATAATTGAGAAAAGACTTTCTTATTTTCTTCCATTGATTTTTCATTCAAATTAGAATTTCTTTTTGTTGTTTTTTTGGTGAAAAATCGATCAAATGAAGATTTTTTTAATTTCATTTTCTTGATTAAAATTGAGCAACTTTATGCAAAATAAGATAAAAGCGTTCTTATTCTGCTTTCTCCATCATTATCATTTAAATGAATTTCCTATCATACCAACAATCATGATTATGGGCACGATCGTGCGCGTTAGTTGAATGGTAAATTGCATGAATGAGTCGATCATTGTCTATTTCTTCAAATATATAAGACTTATTTCTTTTGTAATCGGCTTTCAGAATGCATTATTATATAGATCTTCTCATTTCATTATTACGTAGTACTACGCTTAATAGATAAAATGAACTGTCAACAACCATATCTCATTACTTCATCCTGTTAGGATGATCCATGTTATATATAGATTACTCTCTCTCTTATTTATCAACAAAAGGATCTATGTCAATAATGACGTTTCTGTTGCTCTACATTTCACTTTTGGAGTTGAGGACAAGTGATTTTCAAGATACGGATTTACTAAAATATTTATGCATTACACAATGTCCATAAAAAAAGGGTCTTCATGATAAAATATTGCTATCTCGAAGATAATTTGTCCAAAATTCCTAAAACTTTGTAGGCAAGGTAGTCTGACTGAGGCCTTAATGTGAACAAAATTTCAGATAGAAATTCGAAACTTTGATCTTCCTGGAAAAGTAGAATTCTACTGGACAAATTATACTAAAATGTCGATATCTTAGCCAAATTAGAACTTGCGCTCATATCTCTTTAGATTTTTTTCTAGTCTATCTATGCTCTATTTATAGACAAATTTTGAGCTCAAAAGCTTTTTAGCACTTGGGATAGTTTTCTTGTCAGTATTTTATTTCTCTCTACATTATAAACAATTGCCAATCATAAATGTTTGATTATCTATATTGCAACTGAATTTATGAATGTTGAATGCACTCAACACTATTTATTTTCATAGTTTGTTATTATTTCACAATCAAAAGTGAAATGTAGAGCAACAGAAACGTCATTATTGACATAGATCCTTCTGTTGTTAAATAAGAGAGAGTAATCTATATGCAACATAATCATCCTAACAGGATGAAGTAATGAGATATGTTTGTTGACAGTTCATTTTATCTGTTAAGCGTAATAATACGTAATAATAAACTGAGAAGATGTATATAATGATGGATTCTGAAAGTCGATTACAAAAGAAAGAAGTCTTACATATTCAAAGAGAAAGCCAAGAAGAAAAAGACAATGGTCGACTCACTCATGCAACTTGCCATTCAACTATTGCGTGCCATCGTACCCATAATCATGATTGTTGGTACGATAGGAAACTCGTTCAACATTGCCGTGCTTACCAGGCCTGTCCTGTATTATCACGCTTGTTCTCGTTATTTTTTGGCTCTTTCTTTCAACGATCTTTTCTACACAAGTGTAATTATTGGTTATCGTCTTCTGGCTGATGCATACCAGCTTGATCTGGCCAAGGCTTCCCTTATCTCATGCAAACTCATCACATTTGTCTATCAATTAGGTGCACTATTATCGCCATACTTTATTGTCCTCGCCTCGATCGATCGATATTGTGCCAGTTCAACGAGTGCCAAGCTACGCAAGTTCAGTAATGTCAAAGTAACTCCTTGGGCGATTTTATTTACCATCATCCTTGGCATGCTCTTCTACATGAATACTGCGATTCTGATTGATTTACGACCAACCGACACATTCGGATGTCGTATTCGAGCTGATACTATCTACAAACAAGTCTATCCCATCATGCAAATTTCCGCATTTTCTTTTATTGCACCATGTCTCATGGCACTCTTCGGTATCATGACCATCTACAATACAAAACGAATGCGAGCCATTTCTATTCTGATCTCACGTCATCGTCGCACTGAAAATCAACTGGTTCGCATGCTTTTCCTTCAAGTGATCACGCATATTGTACTCACTCTACCTTCGTCTGTAACCTATCTAATATTGGCCATACCAAACACAATTCAAGCTACGTCCGGCTTTTACCTTGCTCACTTGGTGTCTCTACTTCCCCTCTATCTTTCCTACACCATGTCCTTCATTTTATACGTAATTTCGGCTCACACATATAGAAAAGAACTTGTTCAGTTGTTGTACAGAATACTATCACTGCATGCTGGTAATCAAATTCATCCATTGAGAAATACGATCACAAGCACTATTCCATCAATCAACACAAAGGCTCGAACAATAACAACAACACATTCGTGAACAGTATAATCCACATTTAAATTCAATATCGTGACTAACTTCATTCATGGTCATTCAACTTTATGACGATAAGGTTACTATTATCAGAAAAAAATGTTTAAAATATGTTGAATCAAAGTTTACGACATGAAACAAATAGTTACAGTTCATTCACACAGTCGAACACTGATCTATGTCTTTGATTTCACAAAATAGATATACTTCAAATATCCTAGCTTGTTCTGCAGCTCTGGATTGTCGAAATGTTCCTCCGTTTCAGTTCGCCAAAATTGAGACGTAACCGAATTCCATAAATTCTGAACTTTTAAGGATTTCAGAACTCAACATCAAATAAAAAAATCAGTCATCATCCACAACACAACGAAGCAAAATCGAAGAAATTCTAAAAAGTTGAGGAACTAAGGGAACTCAGAGAGCTTAAGAGACGTTGCACGTAAGCCACGACCCATCGTGCTCAAACGAAGTTTCGCAAATTTGATTTCGATCCTGTAGCCTTAAGGTGCGGGTGTGGGTGTGGGCGTAGGGGTGTGGGCGTGGGGGTGTGGAGGTGTGGGCGTGAGTGTGGATGTGGGTTCGAGTTTAGAAGAAAAGATATCCGCAGCGTTCACACTCACACCCACACCCTCATTTTTATACCTGACATGTGCGAATTCAATGCAAAATTACATGTATAAAGCGTATTTCGTAATTAAAAAACATCTAATTAGATTCATTTTTTAGTAAAGGAACAACTGAAACATAAGAAAAGGTAAAAAAAACTATATAGATCATTTTTTCATCTTATGTAAACTTTGTTAATGGTAATATTGCTTATCATTTAGAATGCGTTTAAAAGCAACTGTGGATTCTTTATTTTGTCCTCCAACATTGATAATCGATTTATTTTTTTCATATATTTCTTAATTTGTTATTAGGTTATGAGTCTGTATTTATCGACATCGATCTTTTACATTTCTTGTTTTAGTAATGTTCTTTGGGAATATGGTGTGTACTATTTCTCTTTAGCCACCTACACCCATTTTCTAGCAAAAACAAACGAAAAGAGTCTATGACACTTCTTCGAATGTATCTCAGAATTGTTTTTTACCTACGATCTGACTCTCCTTCCAACGTCTTAGATCCACCACTAGTACTTTAATATTCGACATTTAGTAAACGCCACAGAAGATCTTTTTTTCGCTTCTAATATAAAGAAAATTCATCCGTAAGATCTATCTTATGTAATATGGTGGAGTTATAGGATGAAAATCTTTTATTTTACAAATAAAATCAATAGTATTCCACTAAATATCTATCGTACAACAAATGTAAATTCACAATAAATTGTTATAGTATAAAAAAATAGTACTAAGACCGCTGAAGTGATATTCTGGCTTTTCCTTGAATTCTATAATTATCAGGATTCACAGGCACAATACTATCAGCGGGAGATTTGTTTTAACTTATGAATATAATTAATGTCGGATTTTAGTTTGAAAAATGTTCCCTATATATAGGTGAACGAGTCAGAAAAATCCAAAAAGGATAAGGAAATAATGATGAACAAGATGAAGAAAATCGAATATTACGAAGAAGAGGTAAATACCAGAACTGTATCAAGAGAAGAGAAATATTCAAACGATAGAAAGAAAACAAAAATGAAAGATATGTATGTCACAGGTACCATCTCTATGATAGTAGAATAGAGAAAAGAAAGAAATATTCGACATAAGTGAATCACATATCATTAATGGATGATAAATATTATTCCCACACGTGATTGTTTTTTTTTTTATAGTGAAGAAACTTGTCGATGTATATCAGCTGACTGGATGCATCATTCGCAATTCGTAGTATTTATCTAAAATATTCTCTTCCTTATCTTTCTTCGTAAGCATATTATATTCGCAGAGGGTACTTGTTTTATGTTGGAAGAAATCGTGTCCTGTTTATCAAATAGTAAAATGCATTACTTATGACTCATATGTTTGCAAATGCGCTGTCTCAAATATCTCAAGAGGAAAAATTCCGATGTTTTTTTCAAATTTAGATAGTATAAAAGAGTCGCGTAGAAAAAACAAGTCACCTATCACTAGAAAGACAATTGTCGCTGCTAAAATATCAATAAGAAATGTCAAACAACTCGCAATATGAAAAAGATTCTCGTGGACGAATAAACACAAATAGTACTACCCGCAGACAAGCTTTCAACACTGCAAAAGATGTGAACGATATACCTCGTTGTCAATCACCTGATCGTCAATTTAAAGTGCAAGACAAAGATACTGGTAATGAACTTCGTGCTTGGGAATATACAAATAACAAGGGTCAGCAGGTCGAATTTCGTGAAGATAAACCAAAGACCTATCCTGATGGAGGAAAACAAAGCGGGCATATTAACGCAGGAGAGGCCGGTAGCAAACTTAACAAACAACATCATAACTACGAAACGAAATAGCAATAATGTTATTTATATATTTTTCCTTTGTTTTAAATGAACAAGAAGATTTCATTGGGTAATAATGATAAATTCATTATTTTTTTCAGAAAATAATATTCTGTATAAAATAAATGAAAAGAACAAATAAAGTTTAATAGTTTTTCATTCTTATTCGATATAACGTGCACGTAATGCAAAATTACAGCAAATTTTTTTTCATTTTTTTTTATACATCGTTAGATTGAGCTCATTGATCTGAGTAAGAATATATCTATTTTTTATATTTTTTCAAAAGGGTTTTGATCGAAAAAACTTGAGTTTGTTCAATAACCCTCACTAGTCCATTTTTCCTAAAAACACCCACAAGATTGCTACATTCTTAAAATGTTTTTCAATTTAAAAAAAAAGTTATTTTGTTGGAATTTTCAAAATGATATATTGAGATTTCTCATGAAAAACTGCGTCCACTGGACCTATTTCTTACCGAATTTTGATTTTCTTGAGTGAAAATATGTTGATCGAATGAATGAAGATTGACACCATGAAAAAAGTCAAGAAATGGTGTGTCATGAATTTTTTTGCAAACCTATCTAGTTTTTTGCCTCTCAAGGTAGAGCTGAGTTTTATATACCATTAGAACCGCCAGGCATTCGGCTTCAAATGTATATCTTTGCTTTTTCAAAGTATTGATATATTAGAAATGGAAAATGTTCAACTCTGGCTTAATACCCAAAAAAACATTAACTTCTGACAGTATTTCGAGATTTTCTTCATGAAAACTCAATCATTTTCAGAAAAAAATAGTGTATTCGGAATCAGCACAAAGATATGTCGACTATGATGATGTCCTTTAACTTCTGAATACTTCGATTTGTGGTGGGTGTCGGTGTGTCGTCTCTGCTCAGTGACCCACACTCGCCCCCTCTAATTAACCAAACAATGAAAATAATCAACAAGTTGTTTCTGATGATGGTCCACCTAAAACTGCAAAGCAATTAGCAAAAGTAAGCAGAAAAGGCAAAAATAATGAGGATGAACAAATTTCATTTATTATATTTTATATATTCAAAAAAAAAAATCTTTTTACAATCTTTTAGAAAAAAGCTGCCACTCGTGAAATAACTGAATATACATTATCAACAAAGCCTGGCGGGGAAAAAAGTTAATCATTATAAACAAAAAAAAACTTTCAATATCCTAGATATTCATTGTGAGTAGAGATGTACGGGACCAAAAAAATCTTTTACCCGGACCAGGGCTGGGACTGAGACTCGAACCAAAACAATTATTTCGTTGGCCCTAGCACTCGGATCGATTAATTCTATCAAAATGCTCCTAGAATTCGATCCCTGATTTGATTAATTCTGAAAGTTCTAAAACATCATCAGGTATTAGTAAAATGCATC